AAATTCTATTATAACAATCAGTGTGTTGGTTTTGGCAGGGATGTGCCTGGCTGATTTCCTTTGTAGAAATAAATAACACTTCAGAGTGCAGAAATTGCAGGAGTACTACAACAGATAGAGCCCCGTGAATCCTTTAATGAACAGATAACTACCAGGAGTTTTTATTTTGGCCAAGCCAGGCATAGTAGGCGATGCACGAGTGACTGAAGCACTTTCCTTGTTCCCATAGAGAATATAATCTAGGCACTGAAGATGTTTTCTCCAGGAAGTGGTGATTGCTGAGGCAGGGAGCAGTGGTGGCCACATGCAGGGGGAGCCAGATCTGGGGGGCCTCATCACGCAAGGCAGGTGCTGGCTGGCTTGACATAAGGGGGAGCTTTCCAAGAAATCAGACTGCTTCAAAAAGACRCTTTCTTTTACACTTGGAAAAAACATCTTTTAAAATATTTTAATAAAAATTTAAACCTGAGGTCAGAGCTTGCCTCGAGGGCTGGAAAGTAGGAAGTGTTTCTTCAGGAGCAAGGGGAAATAGTTTTGTCCTCTGCCAAGGAAGTGCCTGACAGTGGCACTTATTCATTTAGTAAATTTTTATTAAGTGCCTGCTTTGTACCAGACTGAGAGTGCTGTGATGAACAAGGAGCTCACAGACAAGCAATTGGGCCATCTTACTACTGTGGGCTCAGTTTTATGATTGGGTGCTTTTCTTACCTGTCTCACCTGGTGATCAAGAAGGTTTCTTGGAAAAAGTAATGTCCATACCAACCTTAAATGTTGGACTTAATTCCTTTTTAAAGGCTAATATTATATTAAAGATAAATCAAAACCCTGTTTTGGGAACACCTAGCAACTTGCTATTGAAAGGAAGTTGAGGCACTGAACTCCATATTCCAGCCATCAGGCATACTTTCCCAGCTTAATAGTTTGCCATTCCCATGTTGATTGACCTTCAGGTCTCAGAATGTGCCAGGGTCTCTGTGACTGCCATAACCCTTGTCTCACTTCTGTTGGTTCTTTAGGACAGATGTTCCTTCTTCCTTGATTCCACCCAGGGGAGTTTTRGTACACATCCTGTGAGCTCACACACAAGGCTGGTCTTAATTTTTTACTTGTCCTGCACCAAGCAGTCTGGCTTCTTCATTCCTCCATATAATTTGTAAGCAAAGGGATCTTTTCACAGAGCCCAGCATACCTTTGGTGCCTAGTCAGTGTTTATTGAATGAACCAGATTTAATAACTTCTGAAGGTTGTAGTCATGTATATAATTGAAGCTCTTGGTTCTAGCCAGTTATAAAAGAGAGTGTCATTTTACTGAAAAATGTAGAAGCACCAGTGAAACAGATTTTATGCATGTGGCCTAGTTATTGACCTCATAAAACTCTTTACAGTCCTTTGCATTTTATGCCTCTTTACTTTTTGCCTGAGTAACCAAAACACTGAGTAATTCATGGTTCCCAATTTCTGTTAATTAAATACTAATGTGTATTTTAAAATCTGACCGCAGTTTTTAAATTAATTAGAAGTCTTTTGATATTAACAAAAATCAGTTTGACTTAGGCTGTGTGACAAAGAGGGGAATATGTGATGAAGAGACAGGGGCATTTCACAGATTCCAAGATTAGGAACACAGCCAGGCTTCAGGAAGAACTGGAACTGAGAATTGGAAGGCCCGCAGGAATCCCAAGAGTCGTTTCTGTTTGTTTTTTTTTCGGCAAAGCTCTTTTATTCATCTTTCTTGTGAACTGGCTTTCTGTTTCTCAGTGGGGAGAGGGTGGCCTCTCATAATGCTCAGTTTTGCAGCCAAGTTCCAGCCATATGGAAAGCCTGTTTTTCCATCTCAATTCCAAATTCCCCAGAACTTCAGGCTTGGCTCAGGTTGCCTGTCAGACCCTGATTCAGTCGCAGCTATGGCCAGAGGTGTGGGGGTCATGCTGACACACCTGCTTCTGCTCATCTCTAAATAGTCGGTGGGGAGGTAGATAAAAAAAGGTGTAAGGCAGACAGACAGCAGAGAGACATTGTGGGGCTGGCAGGCACTCTGAAAACATCTATAGAATGGCAAATACTGGAGACCTATAAACCACTGTGAGATCATTTCTAGTTTATCTTGCTCCCTGAATCAATTTCATATGAACCTGAAAGATTTAACTCTTCAAAATCATATTCACCCTTTCTAATATGAATGTAAGTTGAGATTTTTAAGGTACTGGCATATGCACATGTTGTTGGGTCTTAGTTTTCTGTATGTGGTAACATTTCTTCTTTCTTTTCTTTTTTTTTTTTTTTTTTTTTTTTGTGGTACTGGAGATGGATCCCAGGGCTTTGTTGCCTACAGGCAAGTGCTCTACCACAGCTACATTTCCCAGCCCTGGTGATACGTCTTCAGTTTTTGAGAAGTAGGGTCTAGCAATCTGTTCAATATGAATCTAAGGGGAGCCATCCATGTGATTTAAAATTTCTAGTAGCCACACTGAAAAAGTGAAATGAAATAGATAAAATTAATTTGAATGATGTATTTAATCCAGTATATCCCAAATATTATGATTTTACTAATATAAAATTATGAATGAAATATTTTCCATTTAAAAAAAAATATTTGCAATATGGTRTGTTCCAACACATTTTAATTGGAATATCCACATTTGAAGTGGTGAGTAACTACTTGTAGCTAGTAGTTACCATACTGGATAGTTTTAGAACTGTCTCAAAGCATTCRGTTTTCTTCCTCAGTTTCTCTAAAATTTCTTTGTAAAAAGCCTTAATGCTAAAAGATTGCTCTTTTAAAAAATGTCCTTCATCACTATCAGCAGAGAACTCTTGGGGAGGCAGGTAGGGATTTTAAAACCAGCTACAGTAGAGTTGCTCACTTGGAGAATTTTCTGTATTACCTGTGTTGGAAGAAAAGGGCATGTGATTAACCAGGTGTCCAGGCTGGAAACTGTTGCCTCTTCTCAGACTTCTCATTCCTGTACTGTCACTAATCCTCTCTGGAAACCTCAGTTTGCTTATTTATAAGAAATTAGGCTTATAATGGTCCTGTTCACTAGAAGAGATTTTCATGGGATTTAAATGCACTGATAAATTTGAAAAAATGCTTTGAAAGACATTTACAGGTTCTATAAATAGAAGGCATTACTTTAATTTAATTAGGGAGAAAAAGGCCACTACATTTTGGAGCCAATAATAGCTATTATTTACTGAGAGTTTACTTTGTGCTAGGAAATGTTATGAGTGCTTTATAGGTATTTTATAATTTAACCATAGAATCAAGCTTATAAAGGTACTAGTATCTCTTATATATGAAGAAGCTATGATATTGAAGTTAGGAAATTATTCCAGGGTCACTTATCTGGTAAGTAAACTGGTGTGAGAATGTACCTTTTAAAAATATGGAATTGAAATACAAGAAAAATTTGTCATTTTAGCTAACTTCAAATGTACAGTTCTGTGGCATTGAGTACATGCTCCGTCTCTTGTAATCATGAACACCTTCCATCTCTAGAACTTTTCCATGTTCTCTGTTGGAAAGTCTGTAGTAACTGAAAACAAACTCCCCATTATCCTTCTCCCCAGCTCCTGGCAACCACTTTCTAATTTTTTCTATAAATTTGTCAGCTAAGTACTGTATATAGGAGGAATCATACAATTTTATCTTTTTGTGACTACCTTATTTCACTTAGCATAACGTTGTCAAAGCTCATCCATATTATAGCATATGTCTGAATTTCCTTATTGTTAAGTCAGAGAATACTCCATTGTATGTATGTGCTGTATTTTCTTTATTCATCTATTATTTAGTGGACAGTTGAGTTGCTTCTACCATTTGGCTCTTGTCAGTAATACTTTTGTGAACATGGGTGTACAAAGTGGGAATTGCTGGATCAGGTGGAAATCCTATTTTCTTTTTAACTTTGAACTATTTGAACCTTCATATGTTTTCAACAGTGGATGCATCATTTTACATGCTTATTAGCAGCACACCAGTACGTTTTTCCACATCTTTGTTCAGACTTGTTCCTTTCCTCCCCTCCCGTCCCCTCCCCTCCCTTCCCCTCCCTTCCCTTCCCCTCCCCTTCCCCTCCCCTCCGTATTTATTTTTTATTTATTTTTTGGGGTGGGGTACCAAGGATTGTATTCAGGAACAGTTAGCCACATCCCCAGCCCTATTTTGTATTTTATTTAGAGACAGGGTCTCACTGAGTTGCTTAGTGCCTTGCTAAGCTGTTGATGCTGGCTTTGAACTCTTGCTCAGCCTCCCAAGCCATTGGGATTATAGGCATGTGCCACCCTGCCTGGCTTCCTTTTCTTTTCTTGATAGTAGTCATCCTAATGGGGTAAAGATTATAAACATACAGTTGGTTGTCACTGTGGTTTTAATTTGCATTTCTGGAATAATTAGTGACATTGAACATCTTTTCAGTTGCTTATTGGTCATTTGTACATCTTCTTTAGAAAAATGGCCATTCAAGACCTTTGCCTCTTTTTTAGTTAGGTGGTTTTTATTGTTGTTGTTGAGTTGTAGGAGTTTTTCAAGTAATTTTGGATATCAAAGCCTTATCATAATATGATTTACAAATACTTTTATCTGTTCCATGGATTGACTTTTTATTGTTGGTTTGATCTGGATTATATCTTTATTATTATTATTATTTTGTACTTGGGATTGAACCCAGGGGTGCTCAACCACTGAGCCACATCTGCAGCCTTTTTAAAAAAGTAATTTATTCAGAGATAGGGTCTCACTAAGTTATTTAAGGTCTTTCTATGTTGCTGAGGCTGACTTTGAACTTCCAGTCCTCATGCTTTAGCCTTCCATGTAGCTGGGATTAGCAGTCACTCTCAGCTTAAAGTTTTATTTTATATTTCTCATTTTATTGTTTCCCTTGTGTACAATATTTTAAAAAATTATTTTTTTTCTTATTTATATATTCCTTTAACTGACGAGTATATATGTATTTGGTATTGTAGTTGTAAAAAGTACCTTTCTTATTTTGTCTTTCCAGTTCTGAGTTGAAGCTCTTGGAGGAGGCAACCATTTCAGTCTGCAAGGCTTTAGGTAAGGGAGAAGGTGTGTATGTGTGTGTTTGTGTGGTGCACGAGTGTGTGCAGGCATGCATGTGTGTAGGGGACTTTTTTCAAATTTTCTGTTACAGATTTTGTCAATATTATATGAATTGGATTAATGAAGTGATGTATCTTGATAATGAAATAAGTAATAATTATTTCTGTTCATACTACTTATGGATGTTAACAGAAGATTCCATTCAGTTAACACGCACTGAGCTATATTTGTAGTGGTAGTAATAGATTGTGCTAAGCTATAGGTACTCTTTCAGCTTGTTCTATTTGTGAATATTGAAATACAGAGGAAAAATCAAAATATTAGGTTAGTAATGGACAGTTCATATAGAATTCACCATTCATCCTGTGATTTGCCACCTGCCCTGACTGCATGTGCTATTGTTACTATGTTAGCCAGAATAATTATTACTCACAAAAGTATATTAGGAAGTTTCTCCATAACAGCTTGATATTAAGGTAGAAAGCATGAGATCAAGAATACTTTTATGATCTTTATTTCTGCTCTGCTACTTATTAGTTGAACCTTCATTTCCTCATCAAAGTTGAGGTTAAGAACAACTATTTTACAAGATTGTTGAAAGGATAAAAATGATATAACATGAAATATCCAGTATAGCACATGGTATCTAGTTGTTATACAGTTTTATGTCAACAGCTATTTCCTTTTTTGGCCTCATTTTTTCAAATGCTTTACCTTCTAGTAATTAGAATGGAATGTGTCTGCTTTTTAAAAATGTGGGTTTAAAATGCAAATAACTATAATTACTGTGCATCATTGCTTTGAAAATGAGAGAGAATGTGTTTATAAAATATCTAGTATAAGGATCTTTAAAGTGATATTAATATCTGTTATAAAATCAAGCCATGTTGCCAGGCATGGTGGCACATAGCCATAATCCCAGCTAAGATAGGAAGATTGCAAGTTTGAGTCTAGCCTCAGCAACTTAGTGAGACCCTGTCTCAAAATAAAAAATAAAAAAGGGTAGGGATGCAGTTCAATGGTAAAACATCCAAGTTCAATCCTCAGCATAACAAAACCAAACCAGACCAGACCAGACCAGATCAGATTTGTTGATAAGCATATGAGTTGTGTGGGCAACTCTCATATCAGCTACATTACTAGTAACAGTCTTTGATGAAATATTTTTGTATTTGGAAACATTATGTTAGTAATGATAGAGATCTGTTGTTGTATTTGACTTCAATTAAAACATAGATTACAGAATTTTATTCTATCTAGAGCTGGCTCTCAAAAATCATGTGGCAGTTTAATGCTGAAAATTATAGAGTTTTATATCACAGTGGTGTCAGTGCAGTCATTATGATGGTGGCTTTAAGGTGAACTTGTTTTTTTGTTTTTTTTTTTATAAAGCTTGCATTTAAACATTGGAAGTAATATTGACTCAGCAGATACATGGTGACAAACACACCAAATATGTGTATCATCATCATCATCTCACACACACACACACACACACACACACACAATTATTATTATTTACCTTTGTTTTATTTTTATTTATTTTTATGTGGTGCTTAGGATCAAACCCAGTGCCTCATGCGTGCCAGGGAAGTGCTCTATCACTGAGCCACAACCCCAGCCCCTACTATTATTTTTTGTTTTTTAAATATTGTTTTTAGTTGTCAATGGACCTTTATTTATTTATTTATATTCAGTGCTGAGATTCAAACCCAGTGCCTCACATGTGCTAGGCAAGTGCTCTACCACTGAGTTACAACCCTAGCACCTTCCCACTATTATTTTTAATGTATAATTTTTTTCTTAACATTGTATTGGAAGGATGTCATTAAAAGTACCTCTAGGAACAGGAAAATAAAAGATAAATTTTTATTGCCAATAACTCCAACAGTACAGTGGTACAGCTAAAATAAAAATTTTTCCATATTTCTCAGAGGTGATCACTGCTATTCATAGTGCTCTGTACTAGATTTGATTCATTTTAAAAATTATTTATTTATTTTTTGATACTGGGATTGAACTCAGGGCACTTGACCACTGAGCCAYATTCCCTGCCCTACTTTGTATTTTATTTAGAGACACAGTCTTAACTGAGTTGCTTAGTGCCTTGCTTTTGCTGAGGCTGGCTTTGAACTGGGGATCCCCCTGCCTCAGCCTCCCGAGCCACTGGGATTACAGGTGTGCACCATTGTGCCCAGCTCTGGACTAGATTTATATACACAGTTTTATATAAATGGTACTGTTCATGCTAGGATCTTTGCTTTATCGGAATCTTCTATCTGGTAGGTCCCATCCTGCTGCTCTGCTTGCCTGTCATGTGTTCTCTGTTGCTGTTCTGGCTCTTGAAGCTCCTTCAGCTTCCATGACATTTGATATTTATCAATTAACTTTGCTGGTGTTAAATTCCATTCCTTGTACTATGGGAGTCTTTTGGAATCTTGAATCTACCATAAGACATAATTTTTTAAAAACTCATTTAATTTAATTAGTGAGATCATCTTTAATTTTATTAATTTATAATTTTATCAAACAGTTCATCCTGAAATCTCAAGAAATTTTCAATTAAACTACACCCAAAGCTAGAAAGAAAACTAGGAAATTTTTGTTCTAAGTGAAACTCTAATGATATCTGACATCTTAACTGCATTTCTGTTCTCGATTGTGAAAGCTGGACAGAAGCTCCCCTGTTTTAGAATGTAAGCTCCATGAGGACAGGGGGTTCTGTTTACAGGTGCCTCTGTAGTGCCTGAAATAGTGCAGGTGTAATGTAAATACATGATGAATGAAAAAGGTACACAAAGCATTATTTTATATATTTATTTATTTTGTGGTACTGGGGATTGAGCCAGTATATTTCTATTTTTTTCAATTTCTTTGAGATAGCCCCTCTCTGAGTTGCTTAGGCTGGCTGTGAATTTGTCATCTTCCTGATAAGCCTCCTAGTGGATAGGATTACAGGCTTGTACCATCCCAGTGGGAAGCTTTAATTACAGCAGTCTAGTAGCCTGGGTGCTCCTTCCAACAACAACAGTATTGTTTTCATTCATTATGTGTTTAAATAGATAACCATTTGCAAATTCAATTGATTACTTATAAAGTCATTCATTATAAAAGGACTGTTGAACAAAGATTAAAATTGGGATTCTAAATGTCAGTAGTCACATCAGTTTAGTTTCTTTCAATATTTATTTATTTTGGGGGCACTAGTGATTGAACCCTGAGGAATTCTACCACTGAGTTACATCCCCAGACTTTTTTTTTTTTTTGGGGGGGGGACATAGTCTCACTAAGAAGCTTGCTGAGACTAGACTGCCTTGAACTTTTTTTTTTTTTTTTTTTTTTTTTAAGAGAGAGAGAGAGAATTTTAATATTTATTTTTTAGTTTTCGGCAGACACAACATCTTTGTTTGTATGTGGTGCTGAGGATCGAACCCAGGCCGCACGCATGCCAGGCGAGCGTGCTACCACTTGAGCCACATCCCCAGCCCCTGCCTTGAATTTTTGATCATCCTGCCTCAGCCTCCCAAGTTGCTGGGATTATAGGCATGTACTACCACACCTGGATTCGTTATTTTACTTTGATTTACAGAAGCTAGCTAATATTAAACCCCACAGAGATACATTTGTATACTTAACTTTTTTTTTTAAACAGTTCATCCTGAAAATCTCAAGGTATTTTTAATTAAACTACACCCAAAACTAGAAAGAAAACTAGGAAATTTTTGTTTCAATTTGAAACTCCAGTGATATCTGACATCTAACTGCATATCTGTTCTTGATTGTGAAAGCTGGACAGAAGCTCCCCTAACTCGCAGTACATGGGGCACCTTGCTCCTCACAGTGGAGTTCTCCAGCCAGCAATAGTGGGCACCATCTGGGAGACTGTTAAAGATGAGATTCTTCTGAGGTCACACTTCATACATGTGGAATCAGAATTTGTATTTTAATAAAATGCCCTGTGATTTTAATGTACATGAATGTATCTATTAACTACAAAGTTACAATTTTGGATTCTGAGGTAAGGTAGCCACTTTCTTCTATTGTTCCCATAATTTTTTATTTTGCAAATCATAGCTTTGATGTTCAGAATTATGACCCAAGAAAGCAGTTTTTCTTATTGCTTATTTCCCTAATTGATGTGAAATTGGCATAAGGTTGGTCAATAAGCAATTTCAATTTGATATTTGATTTTATAGATGTTACTATATGTTCTCTTTGATATTAGTGCTTGATTTTAACTTTTTAAATCATTTTCTTCTCTTGCAGTTGAAAACAATCCTCGAACAGGAAATCTTGGTGCACTAATTAAGGTCTTCCTTTCTAGAACCAAAGAACTCAAACTTTCAGCAGAATGTCAGAAGTAAGCTGGCTGATTAAATCATGTTTGCTTTTCACTTAATAATATGAATATTATTTTTCATTTATTGGTGAAATTAGGCTATGGTCTTCAGAAAATTCTTCTGAAGGATTTATTTTGATTATTAAGGGGAGAAAAGGTGAAAGAGAGGTTTAAGTTAGTGTCATAAGTCATTGGAATGAAGTTTTAAATTCTGGAAACTTTGATTTCAGCATTTTGGACAAACTTTAGAAATATAATCCCTTTTTTTAAAATATTTTTTTTTAGTTGTCAATGGATGTTTATTTTGTTTATTGATATGTGGTGCTGAGAATCGAACCTAGTGCCTCACACATGCTAGGCAACTGCTCTGCCACTGAGCCACAACCCCAGCCCAATATAATCCCTTTTTTTGTGAGTTCATGGTCATCAGTACAAATAGCAAGCATTATACTGAGCCACTGCTGATGCCTCATTTAAAATTCCAGTTACATATTGGCATATACTGCTTGCTTATTATTTATTTAGTTGGAGGTGGACACAATACCTTTTTTTATTTTTATGTGGTGCTGAGAATTGAACCCAGTGCCTCACATATGCTAGGTGAGCACTGTACCTCTGAGCCACAACCCCAGCCCATACTGATTATTTTATCATAATTTTTTGGAGTTTTTAGCTTTTTTTTTTTTTTTTGCTTTTAATTACCTTTATATAGGAAAACTGTAAAGTTAAGAACACAGTCCACAGGAATCAATGAAGTTATTATTATAAGTAGACTCACTATAGGAGATACACAGAGTAAAATATGAATGCAGTAAGTATCACTGGTCCAATGTAATAATGAGCCACTAAAAGATATGGACATTGATCAAATATTACAGGTAGGCTGGGCAAAATGATTGACAAATTATGAAGAAATTATTGACTAGAAATAATCATGCTCATCATTCTTACATGATTTTTGGTCTTTCCTTTTTAGTCACATCTTCATTTGGCAGACACATAACGCTTTGTTTATTATTTGTTGTTTGCTGAAAGTGTTCATCTGTGAAATGTCAGATGAGGAGTTACAACTTCATTTTACTTATGAAGAAAAGTCTCCTGGTAGTTTTGGTAAGCATTCCCTTTTGAAGATGTTCTGGGTATAGTATGTGCAACATACAAGGCTAAATTTTGAGGAATAGATGTATAACTTTGAAAATTCCAATTTTCCTATCATCACTTTTTTTTTCTTGATAAGAAAGTAAGTAGGAACAAGGCTTTTATTTATTTGACTTGCATGCATCTGAAACAAGAAAGAAGTTCAATAAATATAAAGCCCACAAATATTTATTCCTTCAAAAAACAAAGGTGTCAAATCTAAATACAATTTCTGAGGAATATATCATTAAGAGAGATGATCAATCAGACTTATGGATTTTATAAATGTTAAAGTTTTCTTTCACAAGACATAGCAACAGTTTGAGACTGGGTGTGTTTGAGGCTGCTTCACCAGAAATAACATTTTTAAGGACAGTGTTATGATGTTGAAATCTACCTTTATGTGAAGATATAGAGAAAAGTTACCATTTTCTTCTGATATTGCTGGAGGTTTGTTTTTCTTTTCTCTCCCCCCACCCCTTCCTCTCTCTCTTTTTTTTCCCCAAGTTAGGTGGGCCTACAGTTTTCAAGATCAGATGCTGGTGTTTCATTTATTAGCATTAAAACTTACAACTAGGAAGTAAAAGAAAAAATAGGATTATTAACAAATGGAATATTGGGAATGCCACGTGTTATACTCCCTTGCTACCAACTTCCTCTTCTGAGGCCCAAAGCAGTGTCATTCCTTTCTGAATTCTGTTTTCAAAATATCTTTCTGCCTTCATCAGACTGACAGGGATCATATGTGACAAGTTTACCAATTCCTGGGTGCAGGCAATGTGAGAACTTTGTAATATTTGCACTTTTTATTGAGGCCCCTATGCCTTGTGATTTTGTGCATGTTTAATTTCACTTAACTTTCATATACTTACAAGTGATTCTCTCTCCACTGTGATTGCTAATATATATGCTTTTAAATGTCAAAATCCAGTGTTGACAAAGGAAAATAAACATATAGAGGGTCTATGGTTCATTCAGGTAAAAAAAAATCACAATGTATTGATTTTTTTGAGTAACTCTATGTCCACTTGTGAAATATTTCCTAAATTCTGAAAATTCTAAAAGCAATGTTGTGGGAAATAAAAGATTCTGTGAAATGACAGTTAACCTTTAATGTTCTTAGGCATTTATTTTTATTTTTAGTTGTAGATGGACACAATACCTTTATTTTGTTTATTTAAGTTGTTTATGTGGTGCTGGGGTTGAACCCAGTGCCTCACGCATGCTAGGCAAGCGCTCTACTACTGAGCCACAACCCCAGCCCCATGCTTAGGCATTTCTTAAAACCATTTGTGGATGGCAGAAATCTCAAGAAATTCTGGTTAGGGCTGGGGATGTGGCTCAAGCGGTAGCGCGCTCGCCTGGGATGCGTGCGACCCGGGTTCGATCCTCAGCACCACATACCAACAAAGATGTTGTGTCTGCCGAGAACTAAAAAATAAATATTAAAAAATTTCTCTCTCTCTCTCTCTCCTCTCTCACTCTCTCTTTAAAAAAAAAAAAAAAAAGAAATTCTGGTTATTATCCTTTAAATATATGAGGGAATTATATTACATTTTAAATAAATGAAAAGACATAATATAATCAACAATGTGAAAGAGTTCCTTTTCCCCCACATCCTCTGCAGCATTTATTATTATCATATTCAAGATGACTGCCATTCTAACTGGAGTGAGGTGAAATCACAGTGTAGGTTTTTGTTTATTTCTGTTTTTTCAGTTGTAGATGAACACACAGTATCTGTATTTATTTTTATGTGGTGCTGAGCATTGAGCCCAGTGCCTCACACATGCAAGGCAAGTGCTTTACCACTGAGTGACAGCCCCAGCCCCTACAGTGTAGTTTGTTTTTTAAATGCTCACAACTTCTTTTTTTTCTTTATATTTATTTTTTAGGTGTAGATGGACACAACACAGTGTCTTTTATTTTTTATGTGGTGCTGAGGATCGAACCCGTGTCCCGCCCGTGCTAGGCGAGTGCTTTACCGCTGAGCTACAATCCCAGCCCTACAGTGTAGTTTTGATTTGCATTTCCCTAATTGCTTAGATATTATACATTTTTTTCATATATTTGTTGACTATTTGTATTTGTTCTTTTGATAAGTGTCTGTTTAGTTCATTTGCCCAGTTGTCTTTCTTTTTGGTGGCAAGTTTTTAGAGTTCTTTATTATATTCTGGATATTAATCCTCTGTTGGAAAAGTAGCTACCAATATTTTTCTCCCATTCTGTAGGTTCTTGTTACCTTTGCCATGCAGAGGCTTTTTAATTTAATGCCTTCCCATTTATTTATTATTTACTGAGCTTTAGAAATCCTATTGAGGAAGTCATTGCCTATGTCTGTATATTGGAAGTGTTAATTCTTTATTTTTTTGCCTATCGGTTGCAAAGTTTCTGGTCTAATTCTTAGGTCTCTGATCCATTTTGGGTTGACTTTTTGCAGGGTAAGAAGCAGGAATTTAAGGATGGAGTTGGGGAATACAATGCTAAAAGTAAGCCAATCCCAAAAAACAAAATGCCGAATGTTTTCTCTGATATAAGGATGCTGATTCATAATGGGGATTGGGGGGCAGTGTGGGAGGAATAGACGAACTTTAGATAGGGCAAAGGGGAGGGAGAGGAAGGGAGAGGGGCCTGCGGGTAGGAAAGATGGTGGAATGAGACAGACATCATTACACTAAGTACATGTATGAAAACATGAATTGTATGACTTTACTTTGTGTACAACCAGAGGCTTAAAAAATTGGGCCCTATTTGTGTAATTTGAATTGAATTTCATTCTGCTGTCATATATAAAACAATAAGAATAAATTGAAGAAAAGTTGAGTCCAGGAAAAAAAAAGTAGGAATTTAATTTTATTCTTCTACAGTCAGTTTTCCTAGCACCATTTGTTAAAAGGGCTACCTTTTTTCCAATATATAATTCTGGTGCTCCTATATCTGGGTGGGTTCGTCTCTGTGTCCTGTAATCTGTTCCATTGGCCTGTATGTCTGTCTTAATGCCAGGACCATGCAGTTTTTCTTACTGTAGCTCTGTAATATTATTTGAAGGCAAGTATTGTGATGCTTGCAGCATTGCTGAGAATTTTTTTTCCTATTATGTATCTTTTGTTATTTATTTACTTTCTGGGATTTTTRTTCAAAATAATTTATACAAATGGTTACAGTCATAAACAAAATATTGCTGGTTTACCACATCAGCAGGATGGCAAATGCCTAGTCGTGGACACTCCGGCCAGCCTTCTCCATGACAGAAGTCATCAGGCAGCAAGCTCCCTGGGCGCTCCCTCTCCTCTGAGCTACCATGTCCATTTTCTCAAATTAGGAAAAACAGCCTTTGTTTTGTTTTTCTAAATTATTCTAAAAATAAGACAAGCAGTTAGGAAAAAAAATGCACTGTGAGGCATAAAAAAGAAAAATGGAAAGGATCCATTGTCTTGAGAAGTGTGCCAGCCACTCATCGCTCTTGGCATGTGCCAATACAGAAAAGGAAAAGAATCTCAATTGACTTGCTGAACTTTGAACTTGCTCAGGTTTTCTTTTTGTAGATAGCTAAGCAAACATGTCCTCCCTAAATATCCTAAAAATTGTACACAGACAAGAACATTCATGATAGAATTAGCTACTAACTTCTTTTGCTCTATGAGGAATGCAAAGGACACAGGTCATGAGCCCCCTCATGCTACCGCACAACTATGATAGATACAGGGAAGCTGCTCTGTCTCTCATCCCCTCGCTCATACCCAGCCCAGTCTCTGCGGTACCACCTCTGCACATTCCAGTCTAAGATTGGAGAACTCTCCATGGGCTATAGCTGATCACCTGTGTGGTCTCTATCCACCTAAGGCTTGATAGTTTGGCCAGGAGAATGGGCATGGGGTGGGTGAGCCATGGCGGTGGGATGGGACAGGGACATGGTGCTAGGACAAGTCCTTTGTCTGAGGCTGGGATGCAGGTGAGGGCCACACTCATGACTACTGAGTATACCTGCAGGAAGTCCTCTTGAGCTCAGGTGCCCCATGGCTAGATCCATTCTGGTCCAGTGTGTGTGGAGACTGTTCAGTGGTACTTGTCAAAGCCATTTTTCAGGCTGTCATGGATCTAGCCTGTGATAGCTCCCTAGATCTCCTGGCCTGCCCCCTTGCAAATCATGATGGATGGCTACTCACTGTACCACAGGAAAAGGGGGTTGTAGATGAGGTTGGGTGTGTCCTTCAAGGGTCTCTGGCTGAAGCCGAAGAGCTCTGACACATGCATGTCTAGCACCAGGCTGTGGATCTGCCCCCTCCTTCAGAGCCTGGGCCAGATCCAGCAACCCGTGGCCTGTGATCACCAGGAAGGCCCCTTGTCTCATCTGCTTGATAGTGAAGTCATTGATGAGGTGGTGGTTGTGCTCGTTGAGTTGGCAGTGCAGTGAAGAGCAGGTCCTACAGGGTTATCATGCCTGCTTGATGCCCTAGGACAGGTAGGGGTCATTGAAGAGGATATTGAAGCTGAAGGCCTTGTCCTGTAGTGCTGCTGCCAGCCCAGTGTGTCCTATTCAGATGATGTCCATGGTTTGCTCATGGTCTCCCTGCAGCTTCTGGCAGCTCTGAAGCCTCTTTGAGTATCTGCTCACCACTCTGGACCTATGCCTTCCCCCAGTACCTGGTGTAGTCCGATGGTCCACAGGTACAGGTTCAAGATATGGCATGTGGTTGAGTCTGTGGTCTGCTTCACAGATTCCATAGGCATATTGCTGGTGACACCTTGGTCCCAGCTGTCTTGATGTTGAGGCTGCCACTGATCCTCATGGTTAATTGTAGAGCTTTGAATTTCTCTAGGTCTTCTCTGATTGGATTAGTACCAGATTGTACCATTGGTGTGGTACAATCAGGGCACCCACTGTCTTGTTCAGCACCTTTTCATGGATATCCTGCATTGCTGTGCGTCACCATAGGCCACCATGGCCATGTCCTTCAGGATGGGCATCTCCA